TGCCTTCATCGGCTTTTTCGCCGAAGTTTTCGCACTCTTCCCCCGCACCCACCAAATCTTTTTGGAATCAACTCACTGATGCCGGATGCGAATTGCGCCGAAGTGGCTTGAGTCTCTTTTTTTTCTTAGATTCTCGTATTTGATTAGATGCAACTTACTACTTGGGCTTTTTTGTTGGGAAGAGGGGGAGGGGAACTGAAGAATCTTGGATATCACGATTGGGGAAGAATGGTTGGAGAGAATAGGCTAAATGGGGGGTAGAATATGGTGAGCCTAGTGGTTCTTTTGATGGCCCATAGATTGGCATTTAGGAAGAGTTTGACTCGGTGATCGGTAATGGGGAATAGTAAAGAATGGTAAAAGCGCTGTGCTTTGGGATTTTATCTGTAGAATGAATTGGAGGAGGGAAGTGAGTATATGCACTAACGTCCCAGCCTAACTTGACCTACTCAACCTCACGTGACGTTTCCGTCAATTACATGCGGGGTTTGGGCCTTGGGTATTTATCGATTGCAACACGGCTCTTGCCCCGAGAGGTGGGGGTGGGGACCAAGTTCGGTATATATTGACATCAACCCCGAAGTGGGGGGGTTTCATTAGGCAGCTCGAGCGGCATTGCTGCATTGAGTAACTCTTCAAACTACCTTTTTCGTGTAAAATCTTAATTGTACATACATTACTCTATCCTGTATTTACCTAGGCTTCCGTCTGTTCCCTCTTCCTGCTCCTCTATTCGTTTTTTTTCCCTCTCTCTATTCACCATACCATATTTTCATAAACGATAAAAACGGGGGTTGTGAATACATACAACCAGACAAACCCCACCCTCTCTTACCCATCGATTCCCCCCCCCCCCAAAACCACACCACCTTGACCCCTCCAAAACACAATAACAACAACCACCAACAATGTCGTCCAAACCACAAATTGGCTTCTGCGGCCTAGGAGCCATGGGCATGGGCATGGCCACGCACCTCGTCAAGCAAGGCTACCCCGTCACCGGCTTCGACGTGTACCCGCCGTCGCTTGAGAAATTCGCAAAAGCCGGCGGCACACCCTCGTCGTCGCTCTATGCCTCTGCAAAAGACAAGCCCTTCTACATCGTCATGGTCGCCTCGGCCGCACAAGCCCAACCCGCGCTCTTCGACGCCGACGGCATCGTAAATGCGCTTCCCCAGGGCGCAACGCTGCTGCTGTGCTCCACGGTACCCAGTGCGTACGCGCAGGCGGTCGAGAAGCAATTGGTGGAGATTGGGCGGTCGGATATTGCGTTTATTGATGCACCGGTGTCTGGGGGTGCGATTAGAGCGGCGGATGGTACACTGTCGATTATGGCGGGTGCGTCTGCGGCGTCGTTTGAGAAAGGCCAGTTTTTGCTGGAAGAAATGAGTGCGCCGTCTAAACTCTTTATTGTAAATGGAGGCGTTGGTGCGGGAAGTAATATGAAGATGGTGCATCAGGTGCTTGCTGCGATTCAGATTCTGTCGCTGAACGAGGCGTATGGGTTTGCGGCCAGGATGGGGGTTAATGGGCAGGAGTTGTATGATGAGGTTGTGGGCAAGAAGGATGCGAAGGCGTGGAGTTGGATGTTTGAGAATAGGAGTCAGAGGACGTTGAAGGAGGATTATTTTCCGGGGGCGAGTGCTGTGACGATTATTCTCAAGGATACGGTACGTTCTACTACTTTCTTTTTTACTCACTGTTTTGTTCTGCTCGAAACGCTGCTAACGTGTATTTTGAAAAAAAAAAGGGAATCATCACCTCCTCAGCGCGCGCCGCAGCATTCCCAACAACCCTCTGCTCCGTCGCAGAACAAGTCTACTTCTCCGCCCTCGACCGCGGCTGGGGCGCAAACGACGACGCCGGTCTCGTCCGTCTCTGGACATCCGATCCCGTCACTTCCATCAAATCTACCCTTTCTCCCGAGGAGAAGGCCCAAAAACTAGAGCACGCTGTAAATCTCCTGACAGGCATCCACCTCGTTGCCGCAGCCGAAGCCATTTCCCTCGCCAAACACGTCGGTATCCCTCTACCGCAGTTTTACACCCTCGTGTGTGATGCCGCGGGTGGCAGCACAATGTTCAAGGAAGCGGGCCAGAAGATGATTGACATTCTAGAGGGTAAGGAGGATGGAAATGGAAGCGTACTAGGAGGTTATGTGGAGACCTTGAAGTTGGCGATTGAGGAGGCGCAGAGTATCAAGTGCCCCGTATATCTTGGTTCTGCGGCGCTGAACAAGTTACTGGAGAGTGGGAAGGAATTGAGTTTGAAGGGGCTGTTGGCGTGTTATTTGAAGTAGGTTTTTTTTTACAAGGTTATGGAGTGTTTCCTTAGAAAATAGAGGAATGAATTGTAAACTTTTTTTTGGGATTTGTGATTAGTCAATGAAGACCGAAATGCATCTTCTCCCTGGTCCTTAAAAAAAACGAGTCTAGTATTCTTTTCTTACTCCTAGCAAATTCTGTATATAGATACAAGCGCTAGCATTGCAACTCAGTAATATATCTTGCGAATAAAATGATACACAATATGAGGAATGTTGGCAGAATGTCCAATCTCAGCTTGACATACAAAAACAACAAAGGTACCAAGTCGAATGGTTTAAGTTGGAGCAGATATGCTCAAGTGTCAGGATGAATCTCCTAGAGAAGCGATATATTGAGATCTGGGTATTCTCTTATAGATAGTTGGGATATGTAACTAAGATGAAGATGACTATGAACATCTTTCTTTGTTGCTTCCAAATCAATTGGTCATTCCACTCCCTCTCCTTGCCCATTCATGAATTCATTTGTTCCTTCCATGGCTATACCTGCTGATACTAAGTAGTTCGACACAGATAACCTTGCAGTTGTACACGATGCACCGGACGGGAATTCCTCTCTATGATAGCCCGCTCATCCACAAACGCTTTTGGCTGGCATCGTGTGCGAGGTTCCGGGACAGGACTGCGTACGGCTGCAGACGCAGTTTCCTTTCGGAGGGCTCCCGGAAAAGGCGATGACACACTCGCCGTTTACGAGGATGCCCAAGTGCTCGACTCTTGAAAGCCCTTTCGTACGCATGTCTTACAACATGTCCCAAGCCAGATGCCCAAAGGCCGCTCTTGGTGAGGAAGCCCACTGGTAACCCCCCAACTCTTCCTAGAAGAGTCTGTGATACTTGCTCAAACACTATGTTCCCTCGTCTGAAATCATGTTCGCATGGCCATTTCCAAATCCCTAGTCTCCTTGCTCAGATCTTGCACATCATCTTGAGCCATTGTCTGAGCGCTGGCTTCCAGATCTTTTATAACATTCTCCAACCCTCTGACCAGCGATTCAATCTCCGCACGCTGCGCTGTGACAGTCGATAGCAGCTCCGTATTGGCTTGCTGTGTCTCGACGAGCTTGGTGTTCATGGCTGTCGCTTGCTTCTCAAGGAAGGGCATGAGATGGGCTAGGTGGATCTCGGCAGGCGAAAGGGTGTGAGGTCTGCATAGGGTTTAGCATTACGACAAGAAGCGGGTCGGCGCATGTGTAGTACTCACGGTACGGGCGTCTCCACGGGTCCTCCGTTTGCGCTCTCTTCTGCACGCTTCTTCCGTAGCCTTGCATCTTCTATACATTGGTCCAGAGAGTTGAGTAGCTTGACTACATTCCTCCTCTCCATGATGTCCTCAAAGTTGCTTTTCCATGTCCGGTCAAGCTGGTCCACAATCTGGCCCCTCAGGTTGTCTAGAACCTCTGGGCTATATTGCGCAGCGGTGGGGAAGCACGAAGCAAAGTTCTTGGCCGAGCACTTGTCTAGAGTGGCTTTTGAGGCTTGGTTGAAGACATTGATTAGACCTTGCGCGCGTGGTCCAGGCGTCTCAGCGATGGGTCGGGCAGGCGTAGGAGAGGGCGAGCGAGAATTGGAATTTGTAGCAGCAGGCATCATGGAAAGGGGTTTCAAGATAGTTTGGTCTCCAATGTGCTCCTAACAGGTGTGTGGTTGCTGTATCACAACTAATGCCGGCTATGTTTACTCGACAACACGCTAACCACACACGTGACGACGCGCATCGCTCGGATGCCCCCACTTCCCCGCGCCTATGCTACGTAGCCATGCGCTGACGTGATGAGGCTTCACCAAAAAACCATCGTGCCTGTATATTACTCAGACCTAAATCAGATGATTAAAAGATTTTGGCGACCACTATTAGATATTGTGTCCACCTAAGTCCATAGTCTTGTAGTTGTCGACTACGTGTAAAAAGAGTCACTGGATATGTAGGCATACCTACAAGGAGAAAGGATTGAATCAAATATAGGCCATCGCATGACAAGTATCAGATGTAGTTATATTAGAACAACTATTGTGTACGAAAACATGAAAAGACCTTACTTTGACTTGAAGGGCTATGGGATTAGGAGTGTTGAGGTTTTAGTTGAGAAATCACACCAGCTGATGAAACGTATACATGCTATATTTTGGAAATGAATAGAATGGCAATCTGTAGTTTAACCGTTGCGGCTCTTCACACTGATCCTCTTTTCATGTCAATTTAGACTCCCGAGACCAAGTGGCAAAATGACCATCGTTTCATACTTCTGTTGCGTTGTCGAGTTGCCACCATTGATTATTCGCTGCGATACTCGGTTTCTAGGAACGCAGTTTTCGCCTTATGTTGTCCATTCTCACTAGCGCAGAGAGTTGGGAAGTGGAGTGGTGTGGGGACGCTCACGTGAGTGTATCTCCCGTGACGCAGGGCCAACGCATGCCATTTTCATGAGTTACGATCCTTCATTCTACAATCTCATGACTATATCGTTGGCACACAAATCTACAACACCATAAGGCCTCCACATCGAAATTGCCGAGTTATGCATCGACTGGATGACCTTGGCACAACCTGCATGCCAATGCAAACACTGCCGCCGCCACCATCCTGAATCCTGCGCTTATATGTCCCGAACCTTCCCCCTCGTCTCTTCGACTGGTGACATAGCGCTTATCTTGACACTATATTGGCAATCAAAATGGACGACCTGCCCTCGTACGAAGCTGCGACTTGTCCCAATGCTTGGACACTCATTGCGCCGTACCTACCTTCCCAAGCACTATGCTCTGCAGCGTTGGTCTCTCGAGAATGGAACAAGATTTTTACACCATGGCTCTGGGGAAGTCCAGCCTCTCATTTCGGGGAGCAGAATGACGTTGTTTTTGGTATAGAAGAACGATACATGGAGCAGGAAATACCTACTAACTCACACATCAGTGGCTCTAACGCGATTTAAGCGTATTCTGTCTAATGCGCGCGCTTCTGTATGTGAGCTCACGCACACGCTCTGTCTTCCTCCTGCCCATGCCGAAATATACTCTGGTCCACATTCAGAGTGGCTTCGAGACTGTCTGGAATACCTCCCTCGTCTCCAATGTTTGATAGTCAATGGCCTTCCATTTTTTGACCATGCGAGCCTTCTTAGCCTTCGCTATCCAAGCCAACGACTAAGGCCTAAGTTTCCAGTGTTCAGTTTGAGACTGCTTGATGCCTCGGGCTGTATGAATGCCACATCAGCAGGGCTTGCAGAGGCTCTTCCGCATTTCCCTGATCTTGTCTCTTTGGATTTGTCCAAGACTAGAGCCTCTAGAGGCAAAGCGGTGTTATCCGCTCTCAAGCACCTTCTCAACCTGCGTGTTCTGAACCTCTGCGGTATTGGCTTGAAAGATGAGGATTTCTCAATAGTCGCACACTCGATCAGAAGTCGGGTCAGAAGTCTTGATATCAGCAACAACCTCTTGACAGATACCAGTACGCGACTTCTCCTTGAACTCTGTTTGAAAGAGATAGTAATCACTCCACATACACACCGGGGTCGTTTGGCACCTGTTGAGCAAGAGCAAGGGAATAATGAAATAGATGTATTCGAGTCCGAGAACCTCGTAGGACCTCTTCGTAAAAAGCTCATGGGAGGTTTTGTTGGCACACTACCAATCGAGGAAGCACGAGATGTTGGGATATCCCATCTCTACTTATCAGCAAACAACATCACCATTGAAGGAATATCTTCTCTGCTGCGATCAGGGCGCCTTAAAGTTCTGGATGCAGGCGTATTGCCTGCTACGATCAGGAATCCTTATCCTGTCGACCCAAGTTCTGAAGAAGACGACATGAAGTTGCCGAGTGTCGCCAAGCTGGTCCCCATCCTGTCCAAATTCGCACGCCACAAGTTGAGGTATGTTAGACTCAACTATCAAATAGCGACGGAGAATGCTCCCATCGAGAGATCTAAATCGCCACGTGCAGAACTTTGTGGAGGGCCTGGGGCCTATGAGCGTCCAGAAGCTCATGAGCTTGAAAACACGGAGTTGTCAATGTCTGAGCTTGACTCAGAATTCACAACTGTTCAGGAAATTGCAGATTATTCATACCCAATCGAATTGCCTGGCTCTTTCCCGCCAGCTGAAACGTCGAATCATGCGTCTTCAAGCACAGCTGCCAGTGGCCACAAACCAGTAGCTGCACCAACTCCAGCTGCCATCATTACTTCACAGCCGCCGTTGGGCCAACAAGAGTCCCCAAATTACCGAAATCAGACGGGCTTGCCGTTATCCCCAATCAGTCCTCTTCAGCAAAGCTTTGAAAACCACAGAGGTAGTCGCGAGGGTGACTTGTCCCCATCATGGAGCCCTTCGCTGTTTCCACCCACGCCTACCCCCGATATGCAATTCCCATCTACACTTGTTTTTGAAACGATATGTCAAGAAGATCCCCTTAATCATGTTGAAGATATGAAAGTTCGGCTATCATATCGCCAATCGCAAGAACCCCGTCTGCATCCAGGAATGCTACCCAATCTACATACACTAGTTCTCACCAGTGTGCCTATCGCAGCTGAAAAGTATATGGTAGACCGTATCATACAGTTCATCAAAGATGCGGCAGATGAGGCTTCGATTGCTAGACAAAGTGCCCGAAACACTTACGCGCTTCCTCCAGGTCGCAGGCGTGTCGTGGCCGAAGAGGAATATGCGCACAGCTTGTTTGCCCTACGACGTATTGTCCTAGAGATGGCTTCTCCGCAGCCGGCACCCAAAAAGATATCTACCAGTTGGCGCGCTTATCCCACGAGGTCAACCACTGAGGATGCTGATTCAGAGGCCTTTTGGGAAGCTGCGTCGCACGACTTTTCATTCTTTGGTGATGAAGAGTGTGGACAGCCTAGTCAGCAACTGGCTCGTCCGCTGCCTTTGGAAGCCATGAGCGGGCTCGAACTTGCTACTGATCATACTCACCCAGTTCCTGAGCCCAGGGAACCCGAAGTTAGCCCCAGAAGATTGTTTGACGTGATAGGAGAGGTTGGTAAATTCCGAAGAGAAAGGAAGGCTGCCTATGAGGAGCTGGTAGCGACGGGTGAGGCCAATCCTGATGTCAAAGGCTACTGGCCTGGAGACATCACTGTTGTGAGAATGCCATTAAATGCGGAAGTTGGAGAACTCGATTGTTATGGGAATCGATACGAGTCTGGGTGGTACTATCGGTGATTGCTCTGCTAACATGAGAGAAAAGGAAGCTGTGCGATGACGTATTGCTTAATATGGAGAAGAGGCGTGATTTGACACGATACGACATTGCAAGCCTGGTGACCAACTCTGAGATAACGAGCCAGTCAACGGGGAGCTTCACCTCTCTTTTGCCCGACTGTGATGGGGCCCTGTTAGTGAAGCAAAGTACTATGTTAAGGTTGCTTTCGTGCAAACGTGTGTGAGGAGACCATTCAAAAAAACCAAAGTTTCTGATACATTGCAGGCGAGGGTCACGGGAAAAAAAAACAAGGTCAACACTCGTGCCGGATTATTCGCAGTATTAACAGAACAGTTCGCATGCAACCCCCAATAGTCCCATAGTGGTTCGGTATGATGACTAGAATAGTATTGATTCTCCGAGCGGGGCGGCTTTCTGGCAGTCGTAACGGTTATTTGTGGAGCTTATGGGATATGGGATGACGGGCAGCCCAGTATCGAATAGTAGTCCAGAGTAGGCCGTCCGGGCGTGGGTGCTTTGTGGCATGCCTGGATCATTGCGTCTTGCGAACTGGTCCACCTGCCGTCTTGGCACACTAACCGGATCGGTTATCCCCGGGCTGGATCTCACCAAGCAGGGCCATCGCATTATCACGCTTTTGCACAGATTCGATGCACACGCTGTCTTCTCAGGCTACTCGGTGAGATACGCAAGTCGCCGGCGCGTTATTCTGCGACCTCGAGCCCACCCTTGCCGGCTTCCCAACACGCCACGCTGTCTACATGGCGCCAATCGACACTCCACGACCACGCGTGAGAAGTACACGACCACACCGGCGATACATATCCGACTCGGCTCCTGTTAACAAGCGGCGCAAGTACATACCAGGCGGCAGAGGGGGCGGTGGACAGTACGTCGACTTTGAAGGGCCGGAAACGCCTGGGTATAGCTACACGGGTGCCCGCAGTCGCGCAGGGAGACAGGACCTTTCCATACCAGCGCCATCACCTTCATACTCTCGACCCCGACGCGAACGGCCGTCAGCTGGACCTCGCTCCAGTTCGGCTGCTGCAGTCGCCGCCGCCGTGGCTCAGAACGATGGATTCAAGCCGCGCGAAGAGAGATCTTGGGATGAATTTCACCCAGATCTCGACATAGATGCCGAATTCCCCGTCTATAGCGCAGACCAAATTGATGGCATCAGTCCCGCAGAGAGTGCCTCTGGTACTCCACAGGACATCTCGTCCAGTGGCCAATATGCGATTGATACGGGTCTTTCCACCGTCCTCGATGGCATGCGGGCACAGCAGGTGGAGACTGCCGAGCAAGAGGACGCGAGTGCATTTGTGACGCCAAAGCGACGCCCCGGACGACCCCCGCGCGACAGACACTCTATGCTCGCGGGATTGGGCTCCCCTCCTCGACCGCGCATCAATCCGCTTCCGACGATGAACCCCCGCGAGAAACTGAATTTGCCCAAGCCGTCAGTGCGCCAAGTAGACCCTTTCAAAGAGCACGAGGAAAGCGAAGGTGTCAAAGTCAACTATGTGGACAAGACCATGGCAAACATTGGCTACCAGGAGAGCGAGGTCTTTGCAAGAAGTTCGGAGAATAGCCTAATCAGACTCCCCGAAGGCTCAATCGAAGAAGATCTCGATCTCACATTGCAGACAGAGGCCGAGGGAACTACAGGCGCAGTTGCTATAGGCCGCGTAGAGTACGATATGGACGAACAGGATGAACGATGGCTGGAAGCGCTCAATGTGCAGAGAAAAGAAGAAGGCGTCGAAGGGATTAAACCGGCAATCTTCGAGGTCACCATTACTCAGATTGAGAAGGAATGGCATGCGTTGGAGAAGCGTAAGTTGAGCCGAGGTCGATTCGTGTCCACAGTGCGCTAGCTGACATGTAAAAGGCATACCTAAACCAAACCCTAAGCCGCCACAGACACATCGCCCACGATCTAGCAGTGCGGCCGCTGTCAACGGAGAGCCTGCTGGACAAGGCGAAGAGCAGGACACAAAATGTGCCATTTGCGATGATGGCGATTGCGAGAACACCAATGCTATAGTATTCTGCGATGGCTGCGATCTGGCTGTGCATCAAGAATGTTACGGCGTGCCTTTTATTCCAGAAGGCCAGTGGCTATGCAGACGGTGCCAGCTAGTAGGGCGCGGTACGCCTGCTAGTGAGCTTCCGGTACGTCTCATCAACATGCACTCTCCTATGCTTATACTGATTGTTACAGGGTTGCATTTTCTGTCCAAATGTAGACGGTGCATTCAAACAAACCACGACCATGAAGTGGGCACATCTGTTGTGCGCCATGTGGATTCCAGAGGTATCACTTGGTAATGCAACTTTCCAAGAACCAGTACAGGATGTTGAAAAGGTGCCCAAAACACGCTGGAAGCTGGTAAGATAACGATACTATGTTCACCTCTACATCAGACTGACCAAAAATACAGTCATGCTACATCTGCAAACAGAAGATGGGCGCTTGTATCCAGTGCGGACACAAATCATGTTTTGAGGCTTTCCACGTGACATGTGCGCGCAGAGCCAGACTGTGTCTACGCATGAAGGCATCGCAATCGGCAAATTCACAGGATGCGACTGTGCTCAAAGCCTATTGTGACCGTCACACTCCGTCTGACTGGAAGCGGGAATATGATGTTGAGAGCGCGATTGCAGATGCAAAGGCCTTTTACCGCCATACAATGCGTCATGTCCGATGGCCAGACAGTCAAGCCTACGCCCTTTCTATCGGCTCATCGCATGCAATGCCTTCCATTGAGGGACCAGATGACGATGGTACAGGCTCCAACAAGCGCAAACGTGCATCAGGCACAAAGTCCTGGAGACTTCCCTCTGGAGCCCCTGTTGTTCCGCAAGCCGTATACCACAACGTCGAAAATACGCTAATAAGATTCAACGTTCGTAAGCGAAAGGAGTTTGTGCAGGATGCTTGCAAATACTGGACATTGAAGAGGGAGGCACGACGTGGTGCTGCTCTTCTGAAGCGCCTTCAGCTTCAAATGGAAGCCTTCTCATCCATGGAAATTACCCGGCGTAACTTTGCAGGCATGGGCGCAGCCGGCAGACCTCGACTTCAACGACGCATTGAATTTGCAGAGCGCCTTGAAGATGACATGGAACAGATTCGTGTGCTTTGCGAAATGGTCAAACAGCGAGAGGCTGAAAAACTCAAGGATGTCCTCATCTTGCAGCAGATTGTGGACTGCATTTACTTTCCCATCCCGACACTACTGCAGCCCATTTTGGCTCGAGCACAAGCGTAAGCAGCCCACTACGCACACTTCATTGACCTTCTACTAACATTGTACCAGACTCGATAGTCGAGGCTACTTTAGCGACGGATTCAATCATCTTCAAACCAAACTTGACGAAAAGTTCTACACATCCGTCCAGGTGTTCAACGACGATATGGCAGCGGTCTTGAGCGCTGAACTTGGGTTTGCTGCTGTTACCAACATCAATGATGCTGAACAACAACTAAACCAGGTTTCTCACAACAGTCTGACATCTGAGCAGAAAGAGATGAAGAAAATTGTTAAGCGAATCACCAAGGTCTTGCAACCTAGCTTTGAAGATGCGATGCGAAAGGAATCCGAGTTGGCAGGCAGGCCGTATGAAAAATTACCCGACCTCGAGACGCTCCTCAACCAAAAGCTCCAACGCAGACCCAGTATTCTCTCACACGACGAAAACATTCGACAAACCACTGAGATGGATCAGCCAAGCATTGCACAGGCTCAAGAAGATGCTATCGACGGAGAAGAGGCTGCTGCAATGGCGCAGAAGCCCGAGGAGATGCAAATGGCGCCTACACCTGACGAGAACGCTGCTGATGCAGATCGGATACATGACGAAGCGGCTGACGAGGCAGCAATTGCTCTACAGCTCGGCCAAGATGCACTACACGTGTCAAGGAACCAGTCTCAAAGCGATGCTCTCGCAGAAAACCACGCTCATGTAAATGGCCGCCCAGAGCTTTTGACTCCTCCGAGATCTGAGAAGAACCTTCTCAATCCATTGGGTAATGGTGGCGTACCGTGGTACTTTGAGAATTTCGACGTGCACGGCACCACCGTGTATGAGGAAAGATACAAGGGCCGTGAGGTGCTTCGAGACATGAGCGAGGAATTGAGCGAGCTCGACGACGACGAATTGGATGGCCTTGCTGACTCAGATCCTGTTAGACCTGTAGACACGTCTGATGCAAACGTAGCGGCGATCAAGAAAGCAGTGGCCCGCAAACGGCAGAAGCGACCGAGGGGTTGGTAGGTAAGTGTTGTGGATACTGTATTGTTTGTTTTCTTTTACTTTTCTTGCGCATGGGCCACTCATGTCGCATCTTGTATTATCTTTGGCATTTGTAATATACCTTCTTGGGGGGTTGGAAGGTGTACTGCAGGCGTACGGCGTGTGGCGTAAATTTCACAGCAGGGACTGGTCAGCGCATGTCCATGTGTTGTTTCGGGCAGGGTATGTTGATATGGCGCAAGTGGTCGGCTGCTGGCTGCACGGGACCCCATAGGCAAGGGCAACGAAGTGTCGGATGCAAGACGCCTGAATATGAACTTGAGTTGACGATTCGAATTGCCGGTCATGGCCCGTCTGGTTAAAGACGTTGGGAGCATATGTGGATGAGGAGCCGAGCCTCACGGGCCGGCTAGCAGAGTTGCTGCGTGGCCGGTGCCCCTAGCGGTTGCCTCACTCAGCTGCCTGGTGCTTCGTCGTTTTTCATGCTCGTACAAATAGCAGCCAGTCTCGCTTTGTGCCTCGACTCCCTTTCACCTCCTCTTCCACTTTTACTCCACTTCAGTGCAGCACCAGTCATTTTAGCGCGACGCTTACTAAGTGAGACGCGGCTACGGTCGATCAGCCCTGCCAAAAAAACCGCCTAAACTCCAGCTTCAGCAAACACCTTTCCTCAACCAACAAACTCCTGACCCACCACGACATCATCATCATGGAGTACGAGAACGAACAGCGCCCCTACGACGGTGTGTTTGTCTGCCTGTGCCTTGTTTACTGCATACTGACTGCATCCCAGACGAGCCTCGCGGCTACGAACGCGATCGCAGCCGGTCTCCGCGTGCTGACCGTCGCGATGACGGAGCGCGTCCTCGCAGCGCCTCTCCAGGTGGTCGCGATAGCCGGTGAGTTGCTGCCCTTGTTGTTGTCTCCTCTTGATGGCAGAGTTTGCTAACGTTGATGCAGTGGTCCGCCCCCGGAGCGCAGGAACGATGACGACGAGAGCCGCAACTCAGGCTCCAACCTCTTCGTCACCGGCATTCACCCTACTCTCACCGAGGACGAGGTCACGCGTCTCTTCGAGAAGTACGGTGATGTCGAGCAGTGCAACATCATGCGCGACCCCCACACCAAGGAGTCTCGCGGCTTCGGTTTCGTCAAGATGGTTACTGCTGAGCAGGCCGACAACGCCAAGGAGGGACTGCAAGGAGAAGTTCACCAAGGCCGCACATTGAGCATCGAGAAGGCTCGCCGTGCTCGCCCTCGCACACCTACCCCGGGCAAATACTACGGCCCTCCCAAGCGCGGTAAGTTCGCTTGTTGTTTACATGGCTGATGATGGGGCTGACAGTGTATTAGAGTTTGGAGGGCGCGGCCGAGGCGGTCCTCGCTACGGCGGCGATCGCGACTCGTACGACCGTCGCGGCGGTGGATACGGCAGACGCGATGACTATGGCTCTCGCAGCTCGCGATACGACGATCGTGGCTATGGAGCTGGCCGCCGTGATGACTACCCCCGGGGTGTTGACCGCTATGCTTCGGAGCGCAGGTACGACCGTCGTGGCGGCGGTGGTGACTACTATGACAGGCCTCCTCCGCCAGCTGCCGGTGCCTACGATGCCGCTCCTCCCCGTGACGCGTACGGTGGTGGAGGTGGAAGTGGAGGTCGCTCGTACAACGAGGGTGATTACGATCGCTCATACCGCTAGCTCCCCAGCTGACCTAGGCAGAACCCAAGCGGTACTAAGTTAGGGTTCGTATGGCTTCCTCGGTTTGGCGCCTTTTCCAGCACTTCACTTCTGTAATCCTATGACTACTTCATTGGGGTTCAGTTTAATACGGCTTTTACACAAAGGGCATGTGGTCGACAAAAGTTCATCGATATGGTTCACGGCAGCGCAGGTAGCACTCTACCGTGGTCTGCCTTCTTGCAGCTCGACATGATATTATCCTTCGTCAGCTCGGTAATTTCCTTGGAAAATCGGTTCAGCACTTCGCTAAATGCTTTCGGGGCATCGTCTATAGCCCTTGGGACCATCAATCATCTTGATCGACACCAAATTGTACTTCTATCTACTGTCCTTCGATGCAACCTGGACATCCAGTAGCCAGTCCACACCACCTTTCCGCATGATCAGCACTGTCTAAATACTTTCACTATCATCCACCATGACCGCCATCATGTCAGCGCAGCCCCTCCCGACCCAGTAGCATAATTGGGCCTAAAAGTTTCGCCGTCGAACATTCACAGCCTTTCGCATTGTAGACCGGCACGCCGATGACTGTAGATGCATCGCTGCCACCGCCCGCCCACGTGCTTTGTCTGACGCATGTCGGAATGCCAAGACTAGCCGTTTGGCCGAGTCGTGCATAGATATCAAAGTATGTGATTATAGCCTGTAGCTGAGCTGTTTGCTCGACGCAAACGGTCATAATATGTGCGGGCTCTAAGGTACATACAGTGCAAGGTGCGTGGCCCCTCCCCAAATTTCATTCACCTCACTTCCCTTTTTGGTCATACGTGGTTTGCTCATCACCGCACTTCCCTTCGACTGTGCGCCAATTCAAAGTCTGAGAATATGTCCATTCACTCAGCCCTTCCTGCCAACTATCTTTGCAACCTATCGCCTCAAAAGACTCTGATCAGATGTCGCCGTCTCAAGATGGAGCGCGCACATAGCTGCTGGTGCTGTCGCAGCTTAGATTGCCTGCATGTAGGTGTGCATATGCCTGACAATGATTCCACTTATATTCCTGGTTCTGCGATAGTACGCAACTTGCCAGTTGATCAGCCAGGCTTATTAAATCACACAATGTCGTAGCTTAGACCATCCTCTGAGCAGCCTAGGGTACACACTGGTTTGTCTCAGCATGTAGAAAATTGAAATCCGTGCCACAATCAAACCAGTCTTCGTACGGTGACTTTTGCCACTCTGTATTACTAGCGTTTGCTTCAGTGTAGCGATTGTGGCGCTTTTCAAGCTAATGGAAGCGTTGGAGTATTCTTGGGGATCGACCCGCTCGACGCCATACTGATTCGGCTCCCGTGCAGGGGTCCCTGTGAGTGGGTCATTTGGGGGGGTTAACTTAAAGCGACACAAGTCTGCATCGACAGGTTACCAGCCTGACGGCGGCGACACATTAGGGGAGTACGCGGTCATCTCCATGGCATCCTGTATTCCCCCTCTTCTCAACCCTCTCTGGGGCGTTTTGGCAGTCGCGTTACCTGCACCTGTTCGCAAAGGGACACGGCAGTAATTTGGCATTAATCTTGCCGCGCGGACACCTCCACATCGTGGTCAGCTTTCATAGTAAGGGTACACCCAGTCAGTCCGACGCAAGCGTGAGTTAACCTTCTCGCAGTGGACTTTCCTAGGGCTCTCACACAATCCACGTCTCCATTCCTACCATCTCCGCTTTCTTGGTTTCCAAGTCGCTCTCTCCACCTCCCTCCTTACGCACCATGACCAGACGAAACGTCATTCCCCTCCTTGCCGTGTTCGTCGTCCTTTCCATAACTGCATTCTTTTACTCCGACATACGCACCAGCGAGACGTGGAGGAGTTTTCCCCAACATGTGGGCTTGGGAGAACACATTGGCAGCAATGCGCAACCGCACAGCGCGGACCCATTGGGCGACCCCGACTACACGAATTGGAATCCGAAACCCGTGTTCAAACCAGGCTCGCCAATGCCTCCGGGGCATAACTACACATCGACACTGATAATCGCAAAGACGAAGAAAGAGGACATCGGTTGGTTACTGGAAAAGGTACCGGAGCAAGACAGAGCCGTCTATGTCGCGGACGATCCAACTGCGCCGTTGCACCCCACAAAGAACAAGGGCCACGAAGTCATGATCTACCTATCGTGGATTATTGACAACTACGACAACCTTCCTGATGTCGCCATTTTCATGCATGCGCATCAATTATCATGGCATAATGACGTGCTCCTGGGTAACGACGCACACGAAATGATCACTCGTCTGAGTCGGCCACGCGTTTGGAGAGAAGGTTTTGTGAACATGAAGTGCACTTGGCTCCCAGGCTGCCCGGATTGGATGCACCCAGGCATGACGGAACAGAGCAAAAACAAGCCGGAAGAGGTTCTTCTTGCAAAGTCCTGGAGCGAGCTTTTCCCTCTCGATGAAATCCCTAGTGTGCTGGCGCAACCTTGTTGCGCCCAATTTGCCCTCTCGCGAGAACGGATACAAGCAAAGCCCTTGGCGCAATACGTCTGGTATCGTGACTGGGTATTCAACACACAATTACCGGACTACCTTAGCGGGCGCATCTTTGAGTACATCTGGCAATTCATCTTCACGGGCCAAAACATCTACTGTCCAAAGGAACATGTCTGTTTCTGCGACCAATACGGCGTCTGTTTTGGTGGTGAGGAAGAATACGACAATTTCAAGGCTCTTGAGGCCGAATTGAGCGACAACCGAGGGAAGCTCCTGAACTGGTATCAAAGAACAGCGTATATCGCAGAGGCGAAGAAACAAGGCAATATGCAAATGCTAAGGGAAATCGAGACACCTGAGCCAGGCAAGGACGAGGAGTATAGGAGGGAGATTGACCGCTTGAAGCCGATGGTCGATCAGTTAAAACATGATGCCTATGCTCGAGGCGATGACCCGCGGAATCGCGCGTTGGAGGTGGGAAGGGAGTGGAAAGAGGGTGATGGTTTTTAATGCAAATGTTTTTTTCTCCGTTTATCTATCGATGTCGGGGACACCGCAAACAGAATATATAGAAATGGTTTATTCAAATCAGCAGTAGTATTTCAATCTTCTCTGAACTGCTTTTCCTTATCGACTATTGCAGAGCAAGAACACAAGCCATGATTGTGATTTAGCCACTGCGAAGTTATCAAGCATAAGCACACCTCTTCTGGTTATTGCTAGAATTCATTCCGGCGATCGAATACTAGAGCTGCGTTTCTTCGAGAAAGAATTAGACTACTGGGTCCACTCACTTGTGGCTTATCTAATCGACCGTCACATGTTCGCGCGGCATTTGTGCAAACAACACAAACCCACTTCGCCGCGTCGCCGCGACTTTCGCCTTTCTGGCTGGCCCTGTTTGTTCCTCGCAGACAACAGCAAGCGCCAGCAACCCACATCAGGTGCGCAATAATTGTCTGCTGCCCCAATCTGTCCGCCAATTTTCTGCGTTGAATCCCAAACCACGCGCCCAGAGTGCGCTTCTCGCTGCCAACTGCGTCCCCAACATGACCCCAAACTGCACTTTTCGCCGCGACCCAAACTATGCATTGCTCCTCCTTCGACACACAAACCATGTCTTGGTCACGCCATTTGTCTACATGAGTGTCAAGCCAAAAACATGGCCACTTGAATACAAGAGAGCTCCATCTTCCATGCATGACCGAGTCGTTGTACTCTCGTAGTTCAGCTCGCATTCGCAGCCATTTCCGCTTCAAATCTTTGATCCAAACACTTACCATTGTGCATTGACAGCTCACTCGTACAACCGCGGGATCCGTCTGATGTCGGGGCAAGCAACCACGATGACGACAAACGCACCTTACTACCAAATGCGTTCCGGCCAGTTCATTACCACGTCCAACAGCACAAACGCTGCACCGCCCCAATTCGTAGCCGAAGACGAAGAATATGATTTGGCTGGCCCCGCTGCTGTTACAGCGCCGCTCAATCATCATCTCAGCCCACATTTGTATGCGGAACACACTGCGCGACAGACGTCTGTCGACCATACACTGGAAGAGAATCACAATCTTGTAGAGTTGCTGGAGGCTGCCACAGCTGCTGGTCACGCTGCTCAAATTATGGATACAAGTGATACAGGTAGGAGTAAAAGGAAAAGGCCGACTGGCTCTCCGGCTGCAGATTCCTCCCACAAAGCAGATGAACCCATGAATACCAGACGGAGAAGACTCGAAGGACCTACAGACCCTCGATTGCAAGGCGGTATCTGTGAAATGGGTGAGGATTTCGTCGATGACAATCCATCACCCTCCAGTGAGCGTCAACCCAGCAATGCTCGCGCTGCAGGTGTCCATTCTGCTGCTGCTCTCTTCCGTCGGTCTTCAGAGAGAACAGCTCGTAAACACACACGCCCGCCAATGTCCAAGCTATTCATCTCTCTTCGGCTCAGCCCTGAGAACTTTCTCCAACTTCAAGCGTCTGCCAAAGCATACATGCTTGACTCGTCACACCCCGAAAGACAAAGTTGCGTTGGCAATCGTGGCAAGGGAGACAACGATATGGTTAAACTGAGGCTCTTCAACTGTGTCCGCGACTTCTTGAGCAACGGGGTGGGCGAACAGTTCTTTGGTGAGCATGTGGAAAAGCCAGAGGAAAATGATACCATAGAAGCCGCTCGTGCGCTGGGAGAGATGGAGACGCCCGAGGCAAGTCCTCGACTCATTTGGCCAAGAGATGGTAACAAGATTATTAGTCTCGTCACTCCTCTCATGAGACGCATGGTCACGAACGAGCGACAACGACAGTATGCAATTGAGACGAGGAAAGGGGGCTCTAAGCAAAAAGAGAAGGAAAGCAGTGTGAAGGCTGTTACTCAGCAAGGTGGGAATCGCGACGAACACGAGCTCGAGCATCACTTGCAACCCGCATTCGATCCTAACCTGAGTCATCATTGCCGATATTCACAGACAATTCTGCCGTCATCACCGACATCTGTCGCTCTCGAGCAACGGTCATCACAGGACCAGGTATGTCTTGCGGATTTGGAACAAAAGACACATGACCATGCAACAATAGCTTTAAGTTCAAAGGTGCGTTGACCGCTGATTATTTTTACCGTCGACATCTTGAGTGCTGACGCAGACCAGTTATCAAGGACGGGCACGGCCAATCCCAACCTGAGGCATATCAACATATTTCTTGTAAGGCCCTCATCTGGCACCACGTCAGACGCCAAAATCGGCGAGAGACGCATCACCGCCGAAGCACAATCACACCTGGCCTGGTATGACTATAACGACTTTGTGAATGAGGCTGTCTCGCTATTGCAAACTGCTAAAGATAGTCATCCCGAACTGGAGTCGTGGATGGGGTCTCTCCAGGCACCAGACAACGACCTCCGCGGACTTGCGGCTGCTGCCAATGCACTGCAAACTGAGGATGTCCCTCAAGGGTCTGTGGCAATTAGCAAATGCACCGGAATGCCTCCAGCTGATGATGTGTCGGATGTATTACCACCCCCTGCCTCTGCACCCGCTCTCCGTCCCACCATGGATAAATGCAACAATAGCGGCAGCAGGCTGCTCTCCCGCTGTGTCATCAAATCTATCGGGCCCGATGGGTGGCGCCATATTCGCAATGCTGACGACTGGTATAGCGTGTTGAGAGAAAAGGCGTTTGCCGTCTGGGCGGATGGCATCTGTAATGTAGTTGTTGAGTTGGTGGATCCGTCGGCCGTGGGTGGGTAAACTTTTGACACAGACAAAAGGGTTGGTGATGGATGCACATGATAGTTGACGGGTGCTGCATAGCGTTGTGCCGCATGAGCAGGCGCGCTATGTAGATTTGTGTTGGGCAGATGTCAAACAGCACTCACGAAGAATGAAGAGTATCGCAACTACCTTGTTTTTGCCGTACACCGAATCAAGTTACCTTATCATCACCATTTCTGTTTTATTTCATCTCTCAATTTTGCCTAGTTACTCACCTGTCCCACAAACATACACACCAACATCTAAACCCGCGCTACCAAACAAAAAGGGCATCGGCATCATCCATGTGGCGCGGCATTGGCATACCAGGCAGGCGGGGGGGGGGGGGGGGGGGGGGGGGTGTTCCCCCCCCCCCCCCCCCCCCCCCCCCCTAAAAAGGAAGAGAGAGAAGAAGAAGAAGAAGAAGAAGAAGGAACCAATCTACCATAACGGGTAAGGCGTCCCCTTCCCCCCACCCCACCTCCCTACCCCCCTTCCTTTAGCTCCCTCTTTCCTCTTTGGCGCCCACTGATTTACCACCCCACCAAGGTAAGTAAGAAAAAACAGCCAAGCCGTAGATTGTAGCGAACGTCGTTCGCCTGGCCTTGTGGGTGGGCCCTCGCCCTCCCCCGCCGCCCCCCGCCGCCGCCGCAGCTGCCCTTGCTTTCTTGCGTGAACGCTCAAAGGGACTTTTGGGGGGGGGGTTTTTTGCGACGGTTGCGGATTGAGGTTAGTGTTTGTGGGGCGGGGGGGAGGGCTGAACAGGTTTTCTGGGGATGCGGCGGTTTGGGGAGATGAGTTTTTTTTTATTTATTTTTTGAAGATAATGGATGGATGTGTGTTGTAGGAATGGGGGGGGGGTGTTCTTGATCTGACTCTTTGGTTTTTTGCTTTTTGGGGAGGGGACGGCTGAGGGTGGTCTGACGATAGTGGGTTTTGGGGGGGCAAGGGGGAGAGGAGGGGAAAAGCATGTGATTGTGGAGACTGTAAGCTAGTATAGTAAGTTGTTGCTCGTTTTTTTTTACACTGTTTTGTGTGTTGCGGGGACGAGTTTGGTTGTGTAGGTTGACTGCAAGCGACAGCGTAAGTTGCTCGTTGTGAGTTTTGCTTTTGTGCGGTTGTGATTGGATTGCGCAGAGCAGTTTTGGTGGAAGTGGATGTGTCACGCGGTGTTGTGTGGGTATGTTACACAAACGGTCATATGAGAGGCAGATTGTTACGTTTCTCCGGGGGAGTTTGGCTCGCTGTGAACTTAGTATGTCGCCAGCTGCTACCCGTGTGTTGCAGTCGAGAGCCGCGGGAGTCAGACAGGGGGTGTTGAATGCGGCGTTTCTGTGGGAGAATGCAAGTCATGCTTTGTTTGTATACATACATCTGAAACTTGTGCAGCATGTGATCTACTACATAGGGTTTCCCTTCTTCGAGTAAAAAAAAGATATTTCTCCTACTGCGATTCATACGCGCACATGTATAGTACACCACGGCATGCAACTACGCTGAATTGCACCTCTCACAAGCCTACGCTTTCGCTACTCAAACCCTAAGGTATCCATTGTCTCAAAATGACTATTTTCGCCCATACGAAAACCTTCACGCCCACTGTCCACCTATTTACTATTTGCAGCGTCTCCGCCATAATCCACAGCTCCAAACTCAATTGAAGAAACGTACCATTTTCTCCGCATTCTTTAGGTCCGCTACTGTGTTTCATTCGCCTCTTGTCGCAGCTTAATCCGATCAAGCGAAGTACTAATCAACGGACCGCAACTATATTATTTACGCAAACGCAGACAGGGTCGTTGGAGCTGGTGGGGGAAAAGAAAGTTGGGTTGGATAGGGAACTAGCGGGTTTGGTCGGGTCAAGTAGAGTTTTTGGAAAGCGCGGACCAGGTGTCCGGTGTTGCATTTAGCGCGGAGTATGGAGGAGATCAGGTGGGGTTTGGGATTGTTAGGTGAGAGTCTGGATGAACTCTCTTTTGTTTTCTTGCTGAAGTGGTGTTGGATGAGGGGTATGCGGATCAGGTGAGAGAGGGATGGTTTGCCGAGGGCTATGGTTAGTCGGTGCATGTTCCAAGCTTATGAGGATGGTCAGGTGTCAAGGTATGTTTTTGTTGTTTTCCATATTGTAGACTGTTCTTTTTTTTAGAGATGGTTATATGTTGGTCGATTTATTCGTCGGAGAGTTCGAATGCTCAAGCGATGAACGAGTATGAGGTCAAGGCTAGCTTAAAGGCGGATGTTGATGAATGTGATTTGTTCCTGTCATCAAGTCTGCTGTTTCTTGCTTGATTCTAACAACATCTTCCATGGCTCGACTTTCTGCCTGGGAATCCATGGCCAACGCTATGAATTGAAAAGAGTCGGGGACATATCTCCGTTAGTATAGGTCGGCAGCTACTTTTTCTTTGTTGTAGTAAGGATAGCCTAGTGATCTACTTTGCTCGGCGTCTTGGCCCAGTGAGCCTCAAACGTTTCAGTATCGCATCGTGTTTGTCGCCCGCCCCATTATTCTCAGACGAGTGTGACTGAGGCAGCATCGGTCTTGGTTATGTGAATTGATGTCGGATATGGGCGGGTTTGAAAGGTTACGTCATCATCACACTGCATGATACATGGCAGTTGTCAAGACGCGCCGCATACGTGCATACGCAGGTTCAGATAGGAGTATTGAATTGTCGAGATAAAGGAGCTGGAGGCAGCAGGTCGGTTATCAAGCGTGCGACAGTTTAGCCGCCCCACGCGATGGTGTATGTATGGTCGTGCCGGGTTAAGCGCAACGTGTGAATGGATGCTGAGGAGGCGCATAACGCTCACCGATTGTGATAGCCGTTCCCTTGGGTTTCAGCATTGGCATTGGCGTGACTCTCTGCCTGACCCGGGGCCCAACTGGGCCCACCGATACGGCCGTGCGTCCACGTTGCTGACCACGTGGGCATGCAGGGCATGCATCCCATCTCGTTCAGTCCCATGCAAGCGCGCTTGGACAGGTTCAACGGCGCTATCGCGTTGAGACTCTCGACACGATACTGACGATCAGCGCTCGACGATGCCTTCTGGTCGAGTAAGCTGACTGCACGCAGTCCATCTGGGAAGCTGATCGGACAATCTTTGACTCATTTGGAAGACACGGGATCGAACAATAACAAGAGATGAAGAAAGAGGCATCGGGCAGGGGCTAAGACCGCAGAAAGGTGGGTTGGTGATATCAGCGCAAATGCAAAGTAAACGGCAAATCGTCCCGCGGCATCATTCGGAGGCGTACAGATGACATGTCCAGGGTCTTGGACGAACCCAGAGCGGCTCATTACGACATGACGTTGGTTGATAGCTGCTATTCTGCCGATGACCAAGGGCATGGGCGAGCTGAATAGCTGGGTGCTAGCGACTAGCTGCAGTGGTTTAAAGGGGGGATCTAGGTGCACTTTGGAGATGGCCAGAGAAAAAGAAAAGAAAGCACTCCGCCTCGACTGACTGGTGTTGATGCCAATGGATTGATTGAGTCGTTGGGACTGGGGCTGGCCAGCCCATGGAGACAGGAGGTTCTGCAACCTACTTAGTCATGGAGCAACCAAGGGGTGATTGTGTGTGGTTGCAGGAGGGCCTTTTGCGATGCGGGCCGTTGATGGGGCACCACCACTCAGACGCGCCCTCGCACACGCGTACCAGTGGGTTTCTCCCATCCCCCAGGGTACCAAGGCCGGTAGCGGCGGCCAAAGTGGGTTCCCGCACAAGGAAAAAACGTGGCCGAGACGCTGTAAAGGCTGTAAGTGGGCTGTAGCCTGTCATGGCCATTTGGGTACTGTACTTAGTCATGACGCCTGTGTGCGTAAGTACTTCCATACGAGCGACCGGGATTCACACGAGAGCAACCGCAGAGACGTGGTATGGGCTGGCTGGACACGAGTCTGTATGCACACACGAATAGAGTTCGTGTCACAGCGATCAAGAGACTGTTGCTTGCATGCATTGCACTGCATTCGTGGAGAGATTGTGTCGATGCATGACTCCTGTCTTTATGTCACTGTGTGCGTGCCATGCCCCCCCCACACACACACACTTGGGACATCAACACCACAACACCAAGACAAGGCCTGCGTTTTCTCTCTAATGCTGCCAAGAGAGAGGGGGGCATTGTATCTATGTGTATACATACGTACATGGATATCGTGTGCACAGCAGCGTCTGATGCCGCCGGCGTAACCTCTGGAACCTTTTGGCTAGCATGGCCCCCCCCCCCCTGCCGGTAGATCTTGTCTACTCGGGCCACTCCCTTGCCCGTCTGGGTCCTTTGAAACAAGCGAGGCGCGACGCTGGGCCAGCACAGGGCGGCGGGCTTTGTCGACGTTCCATCTGTTGTCGCCTTCTGTTCACCAGGTAGCGGTCTACTCTCGAATCCATCTCTCCCGCTCCGGTCTTTGCCGTCACCGCTGCGTCTCACACTTGGCGTGGTATTAGTAGGGCGCCTGTCCCCCCCAAACCACTTCTGTCACCACTACTGTCACTACCACCATTTGCTACTACATACCACCAAGTCATTCCCTACCGGCCTCGACTGCCAACTTTTCAGCCCGCACCATGACAAACTCCCTTGAGTCTTCACGGCCCATACTTGCCAACGTAAGCCATTTTCCCGTCCCTACGTACCCACTGCTCGTTTCAGACATGCCCTAGTCATGGCCGGTGCGTGCCTATGGACCACCTGCACTCTTGGGCCCAGTATACTAGTCCTCTCATCCCCTCTGCACTTTTCTTGCACTTGCTCTTCTTCCCACATCGCTCCCGCTTCCCTCCCAAACCTTCACCGCAACCACAGCAATACAACACCGTCCCTTCAACATGTCGCAACAAGAACAGTCTAACGACAAGAAACCCCAGAGCACCGCAAAACGCGCGTCCACCCGCATGTCCACCTACAGCGCTGCACCCACTCTGACTCCCTCAATTGCGCCCTCGCACCTCTCCGAAGCCTCGTCAACCGCCGGCGATCCCAAGTCGCA